TAAAAAATAGTTCTTTGAGCATGTATTAGATATGCTAAATTTTAATCTTTTAAAATATTATACATATATTTATTTCCTTGCTTTTGTAATTAATGCGATTGAAAATACTAAAAAATACTTGTCAATAAGCCGTTATGGTTTCTAATGTTTTTATCACTCGATTGTCTTCGACTCTCTTCTGGATCATAATTTTATATACTTTTTCTTTTTTATTTAAAATCTCCATTGACTTGTATTCTTTATTACTCTTCAGTTAACAAATTCAATGAACTCACAACTTTGTTTGCTAACCAATCACTATCAAAACACATATAAATTATTACTATTTCTTAATTTTAAACTATAGTTCAACTATAGTTCTTATCATTTGGATTCGTTGTTGCCTATCAGTCAGTCAAACATTCAGTATATAGGATTGATATTATTATTTTTTTTATCTGATTATTTTTAATGCAACTTTTACGATTCTTTGATTGATTATTTTTCTTCAGTCAATCCGCCCATCATTGTGTCAATCAGGCAGTTAAAGTAAATAATTTTCATATACATAATTGCTTCTCAAAATTTGGTGGCATTTATTGCCCTTCGGCTACGTGTTGCACCTATCAATTTTGATGCGCAGCAAACGAGTCGAGTCGAGTCGAGTCGAGTCAAGGATAATTGGAAAAACGCATAAAAGTCAAGTGCTTGACAATTTATGCACGTCTCTCGCATTAATTAACGCTGCATAGTTCGAGGCGTCGAGGCCCACGGCTAGTTCCATGGAGTAGTGCTTCGACTTGCGTCTTTCAATTAGCTCAACTAGCTGAACTTTCGCTGTAAACTAATATCGCCTGACATTTCCTCGAGAAGGGCGCTAATTGAGTCATAAATAAAATCAATTAGAAATTATGTCGACAGTCTGCTTGCATATGGTGAGAGGAGTGGGGAAGAGGAAGGAAGGGAGAGAGGGGGAGAATGGGAGAGAGATGGACAGAGGGATGCGAGAAAGTATATGAGTATATGATCAGAGCCTTAACATATTCGGCATCTTGAAGGGAAATTCCCAGGAGAGAAGCCTTAATAAAGGATAAGAGATAAAATTATAAATTAAAAAAAAAACCTTTACTCTTAGGCGACTTGCATCTATAGAAAAAACTCTTTAAAACTTTTTAACTAAAAGTTTTCTCTAAAAGCCTATTTTTATCGCCAACAATTCCTTAAGAATTTTCCCAGACTCGTATCAAGTTGAAAGTGGTAATATGAAACCCCTTTACACCTAATCTATCAAACTATATATGTATAGCTATTTTTAAATTGTAACTTGATTTGTACATCGAAACTTGAATGTGTGAAACTTGATGTCGATTCATTTCCGTGTGGGAGCTCATTGGGGCAACAGCTTCGCGGAAGCGAAACGGATACAGAAACAACAATGTCACGTATGTTTTGTGGCAACAACAATGTCTTGGCTTTGATGTCTTAACTCCCCACTGAACCTTGACGCGACTTTCGCTGAAAGCCATCAAAGTTCAATTCAATCAATTTTCAATATAGCCAACGAGAGCGAAAGAGTGAGCCTGAGCCAACTTAAGTGTTGTCTGTGTGCTCTACACATACATAGTTTGGCCTGTCGCCTCTCGACTCTCCATTCTCCACTCTCCACTCTCCCGTCTTCGCTCTCCGCTGTTAACTGTCTGCTACGAGTTACATCACAATTGACATTGATAATGAAATTCCAATCGAACCTTGTAGTTCTTGTTGTTGCTTTCCTGGTACCAATAAGTCAACTTCTACATGCATAAATTTAAGTAGAATCACCTAGAGCCCAGTTCCCGTCGCCAACAACTATCTATGGCAATCTGTCATGTCATGTGTCGTTAGGCACTGCAATTCGAAGTGTGTGCTAAATAATTGCAATAAGAAAACAAACAAGATTGACTCAATGGATGAATGCGCGACCAGCTAATGCTCTGTAGTCAGAGGGACTTCTATATATAAATATTTGCATAAATAGAAAATTTATCAGAGGAGAAATTTAAGTATGTTTATTTTAAAATCTTTTTAAATATATATATATTTTGTTTACATTTTTATTAGCTAAAGAAGCATCATTTCTTTTATTTTATATTATTTAAAATTTAAATTTTTGGTGTTTAGATAGGCTAATTCTCATTGAAGCAGATAAGATTCCATATAGGCTAATTCTCATTGAAGCAGATAAGATTCCATATATTCCCATTTAATTTTTTACATTAAAATGTCTTCCTAATAATAATAATAAGATTCTAGATACTCTCATTTTATTTTATTTTATTCTATTTTTTTTTAAATAAATGTCTTTAGCTCATCTATTTTATAAACGAATACATAAAACGTTCTCGAAAATTGTTGATAAGTAGTATATATTTTTCTTTAAACTATATATTTATCTTCGCTGTTCTACACCCAATACACACTACAATTAGTAGAAAATAATCTGTTTCTCTGCAGCTTGCGTTCTGTTACCCGCCCAATATGCCCCATATGTACTGCCGAATTGCCAGGGTATTCCAAATAAAACAAAGAATCGTAACGGAAAGGAAAAGGAAGCACTCGTATGATAGTCAAATTTCCTGTCCGGAATGAGTTCAGGATATGTCGACAATCTTTTTATTACCTTCGTTCCTTCATTGTTCCGTTCCTTTGTCCTCCTTCCCGTGTCCTTGACACTGCAGCTATTCAGGCTGCATCCGTTCCTGTCACGCACATACAGGTGGGCCGTGATTTATAAGCGGCGTACTTGGGGTTATTACAGTTGCTTTAATGCCAACTACATACGAGTAGTTAATAGGTCAGGACCTGCTGTGGGCGTACTTTATGTGTGGGCGGGATAGCGCTCATGTATGCCCGTATGCCACTAACTATCCAATAAAAAACTAGGCTTCTGCTCATCAAATTTTAATTGCAAAACAAAAGATAAAATACAAATACAAATATACTTAAAATATTAGTGTTGGTATCAGAAAGTTATTATAACTAGAGGTCAAAGTTTATGATTCGTTTTTTCGGTATATCGAAATTCATATACACATACATTTTTTTTAGGGAAATATATTTTGTATTCTGGATAAAAGTAGTTTGAAAATTATAATTGTATAGAAAAAAAAATATATTTATGTTTTTTTTCTCAATCTAAGTAAAAATGAAAAAAAAAATACAAAATAAATATATAAAAAATAGTTGTTCATCAATTCATATTATTCTATATTAAAATATTTAAAAAATGTATCTGTGCACTATATGTAAACTTATTTTATTTTCCCGTATTATAAGCCCTATTAAAACTTTATTTAAGTCTGGCCAAAACCACATCAAAACTTAATTTGAGGCCAAAGAACCGTTTAACAACTGTTCTTTATTTTTTGGCACCGACCCAAACCGAGAAGTGAAACCAAATGCAGATTTTGGTATGAGCGACGCCAGACATAGTCCCAAGTCAGGCAATGTGTGGTGGGTGTAGCGCATGATTATTGTCAGTCATGCCGTCAGACCATATCATTCAGGTAATTTAACATTATTTCGCCACAAAAGTTGGCCCGATTCAGAGCGACTAGACTAGACCAGAATTTCTCTCTCTTTTCGTATTAAGGTTTGCTGTCAGCTTAAATTTCTTTCGTGCAGCAAATGAGACAAAGTTGGCAGCTACAAATATGGCATATTTGCATAGTATATATAATATATATATACTATATATCATAAACATGCAAAAATATGCGGATAAGCCCATGGTAAAGCTAAACTAATTGCCATTAACAACAATTCCTTGAAGCAATGCAAGAGAGTTAGCTATAAAAGTCGAGAATTGTTTTTTCATGATAACTTGCATTTAATGCTATATATTATATATGTATATCTATATATCGCATGTATGGCTCCAATATGTATTACCATCTAATGCTCGGCACATATGTGGAACACTCACATCAAATGGAGTTCTGTCAAAAAGAAAAACGTCTAACGACTAGACTGTCTGCTAAAAGGCCCAACAGAATATACGTATATCGTACTAACAACAATCCATAGTATACCTATCCATAAATATAGAACTCCCTCTTTGCATTCAATGCCTCCCCAACTGGGTTGAAATTACGCTCAATTGGGGGGATGGAGGGAGATTCTATTGTTCAAAGCAGCAAATGTGGAAAAATATGATATGTGAAATGGAGAAATGATCGAATTTTAAATGCACTAAAAAAAATAAAATAAATTAAAAGAGAGAGAGAGAGAGACAGAGAGAGAGAGAGAGAGAGAAGGAGAGAGCGAAAGAACGAGAAAGGGAGTGAGAGAGACAACTAAAAATAGTGTTGAAGATAGAGATAGCGCAGTTGAAGATTCGTATTAGAGACAGACAGAGAGAGAGAGAGAGAGACAGAGACAGAGACACACAAGATAGGATAGATATTGAGATACAAATAAAGATAAATAAGTAGAGTGTGAACGAAAGAGGAGGGAAAACAGATTAAGGTATCATTACATCTATAAGGATAGAGGTAATTCAAGGCGAGTAGAGTGTAACAAAAGTTGTCTAGAGTTTCATGCATAGACAAATTTTCACATTTATAGACATGGACTTGAGAGAGGGACAATCAGGTGGCGTTGACTTCTTGGTGCCAGTTTATTTTTTTATTTTTGGGTGTTTGGCAACCAAAATAAAAAGCGAAAAAACCATACCAAAAGCCGAAAAATGGCAAAGAGCTAGAAGCTCTATAGAAACCAAATATGTGGCCGACCTCATTCGTTACCAAGAGTTACAAGCGCGAAAACGCGGCGCATTCGTGACACAGGTGAAAAATACAAGAAAAACCCAGAAAAAAATTAAAATAAAACAAGAAATAAAATCCCACAAAAAGGCTGTGCATTGTGTGTAAACCTTTTGCTCGGTAATTAACTCCGGGTCTTGACTTAGGCAATGATTGTGTCACATTTGTCAGTTTGATTAACCAGGAGTGTTCTCTCTTCCCTCTTCTTCTTCTTCGCAGCTTCAATTTACCGCGCATCAGCGCCCGGCTGGAGCGCCTCATGGGCACCAATGTGGTCAAGCTGACTGACCGCGCCTATATGAAGCAGCTGCGAGAACGCATCGACGAGGACTACCGCAAGCAGCTACTCGCCCGGATTCGAGCGCGTGAGGTGAGTAGACCGACTTACAGATACTCTACATAGGGTTAGAATCTACCATAAGCAGTTTGAGACAGGTATTTATATGTTGACTAGAGGTTTATTCAGGATACTCAATGAAATATTGTTATGAGGCTTGAGACCCTCTTTATGTTCAGTGAAAGAGTGTTATTCGATTTTGATGTGAATATACCAAGTATTGAAGACTATCGGTATATCGAAAGTGGTATAGTGAAAAGATTATGAAGCGAATGAATCATTATAGGTTTTATAAGAAAGCTTTTCGCATCTATCTCTTCTTTTTGTTTTATAGAGATTCTATCGATAAGGTACATTTTATTTAACCTACATCTGCTATATCGATATTTATCGTTTTAAGACAAATTTTCAAAAAAGTTTAGACCTGATAAAATATCAAAAAATATCGCTAATAAATCACAAATATATAAGAAACCCGATAGTTGTATTATAAACATCCCCTACAGTACATCACTTCTCCTTTCACGCAATTTTTAAGTTCTACAGAGTATTTAAGCTTGGCCACACAAATGTGTCCAATTTGGATGAGACCTAATTGAATTTTTGGGGGACTCAAAAATTTGTAGACCCTCGAAAATTTGTCACGTAGTCCGTTTTTTTATTAGCTGCGATTACTTTCAAAACAAAACACAAAAGAGACCAAAAAAAGGGATTTTTCGGCAAGGAGTTTGCGTGCGCCGAGGAGACAACGAAAAGAAAAGTTTTCAATAACAAATGTCGCGCCTGGTTCAGCTGCTGCTACTCGGCTCTCTCTTCGAATTGAATTCAATGAGCCCTCGACATGAAAATGGCAAATTCAAGCCGTCAAAATCATAAAAAATTAGACCATCGCGATAGGCACCAACAACTTGGCTTTATACATGCGAGACATGCGAGCGACAAAAGCAACGATAGACGAAGCAAGAGAGCTCTAGAGTGGGGTCTGCACAACTAGAGTTTATCCTAAGCCTAACGTTTAAATTGAGTTAAGATTAGTTTTAATATATTGAGCATTTAAGATGTTGATATTTTTATATTTTTAAACTATATAGGGGAGAGACGATTTCTATCTACGATATATATGAAGATTCTTTGAATGAATCACACGAAAATATTCAGATAGTAGAGTACAAATATTTATAAATTTTTAATTTATAATAAGTATTATTTCCTTATGTCTGTTACATAGTATGCACACAAAATAGCAACATATATACCATTTACCCATTTCGAGGGTATTACAACAGCTGTGAAGCCGGTAGCGGCTGGAAAAGTGCTTCAAGAGTCGGAAATGCCCACTTAAATATTGTTTGTCTCTGATTTACGAGGAGAGTTGCAGATATTTGGGGACGTAATCGGAGTAGCTCGTCGAGTATTATATTTATTTTTCTGCATTGCGCACTTGCAGTTGTCAGTTTTGTAGGTGAAGGCATATGAGCATTCTCAATGACAAGTCTATATGCCAAGAAGTTTGATATTGCTAAATGAATAGATACGATATATCAATCAAATTATAAAGTTTATGTAGGATTGGTTGATGAAAGGATATTACATATCCTAGATACTTGAAATTAATTTCTGAAAAACTTTTATCTTTTTTTTTTTTTTTTTTATTTCGTCTATAGTTAAGAGAAGTGGAACGTGAACGCATGCTGATTATCGAAGGTAAATCGGATATAATACCCGAGGAGCTGGCCAACGATCCCATCTTTATGGTCAACAAAGATGCCAACATGGAGATACAAAAGGAACGCGCGAAGGTATCAAACCATTCGAAACTCACGAAAACCGCAAATCCTAAACTTGATTTCAAACAATTCCTCAGCTGAAAACGAGTCGAGAGAAGAATGCGGAACGTTTGAAGGTGCAGGGCGTCAAGTGGGAGCGAGAGAGGCTGCAGCATGCGGCCCAGGAGGCCGAGCAGCTGGCCAAGAAGCACGAGCGACAGCGCCAGCAGAAGCTCCTCGTCGAGCAGTACCGAGTGGAGGATGCGGAGCGAGGCATGGACCTGCTGCGGTAAGTGAAAGAAATAATGCTAAATGAGTTTTGTTCCAACTAATTAAAAGTTATTCATAACCAACGCAGTACACAGACTAAGTAAATGCGTAATACAACAATATTAAAGATATATTTTGAGGTTAGGCTAGGGCGCCGGGCTGCAAGCCACACCCCCTTAAGCCTTTAAGCTAAATGCCTTTGTTGTTGGCGAAAGAAAAAAATAACAACAATGAAAGTGCACGAGTTTCAAGTAGAGAAAAGCGACTTTGATAAACTTTAAGTATCTGAGATAAAGTTCTCTGCCAATAAAGCAGTTGAATGGCTGACCTTAGTATAGTTAGATAGTTTTGTATCTATAAGGATGTTGAGAGCAATTTACATCATTTTTTATTTAAAGGGTCAGCTGCAATATATCCTCAGGAATATGTGAATCTGCCGCACTGCTTTAATGTCCAATAGATCTTTATATTGTATTATATTTTAATCCATCATGTTTTATAGAGTATATATAACATAATTACTTAGCAACATTTGGATTTCTTTTCTTTACAATTATTGAAAAATTTTCAAAAAAAATTAAACAAATATTATAATATTATAATATTTGGAGCTTATAAATTAAATCTGTTCGATAAGAATTCGTAACCCGTAAGTCGACTAACAAGAAACCATCCAACTAAAGTATCTATGATTTCCAAGGCTTAAGGTTTCTAGTATACATGAAGAAGAAAAGCATCTCATAGTAAATATTACTATCGTGCCTAGACACTAATTAGCTTCGGCATATGCTGATGAAAAAAGTTGTCAAAGAGAATGTAATTAATTTGTCATTATATAAAAGTCTAGAAAAATACTAAAGGGAAATTCCATAGAAGACTTAACTTAAACTGAATTTGATTACAAATGGTTTATTCTAATTCATTTTCCAACTCTTATTCCCCACTTCGCCAGCATTGACAACGAGGACTGGCGTGATTGCGAACAGAATCTGAAGGAGTTCCTTGAAACGGAGCGAGCCAAAATGAAGGAACGTTCGTTGCGTGTGCCCATGCCGTTCACATCGGATCCGAAGGATATTCTCAATATCGTTCGCGCCCGGTAAGTGCAGCAAAGTGCTCTAAAACTTAACTATTCATAATTTGGCATCTGCAGCCAAAAGTTCCGGGAGACAGAGCTGCGCATACGCCACCAACTAGATGCGGATAAGAAGGAGCAGGCGACAACGGTGGCACCCAGCAGCGATGGGGATGGCTTCTTCATGGAAGAGATGGGCTTGGACAGCATCGAGATGCCGCATGATGCGTCGGGCAGCTTTGGCGACTATCCGGGCGCCATTCAAAGCAAATACCTGGACGATGCCTCCGATGTTACCGAGGAATCCATCAAGAGTGAGAGCTTGATTAGCTTGACGGTTGCTAAGCAACAGTACGCCGAGGTACTGCAGCAAGAAATGGAGGATGAATTCAATCGGGGACTGCTCATATCCAAGCAGCAGTACGATCAATTGCGCTATGAGGATGAGAAAATTGTGGCACTACGGAACGCCAAGGTGAGCCAAAGGGAAAGATTATCTAGAGCTATTTGGAGCAAATAGCTGATTTATATGCTTTTCAGTATAATCTCTATAGTTCTTATATAGTCTATAGTTAGACAGACTAATCCATCTATACTTAAATATTTTGTTCATGTTCACTTTCGTAACATTTTGTTTACATTGAAAAGTATATAAACTTTTCAAGACTTCGACATAAACTATCTGCATCCTTTCATACATACTCCCTATATCTCAACCTACACTATATACTCTATTCAAACTCTCTAATCCATCTCTATATCTATCTATCAATTTTCTTTGCAAACTCTCTTAACATTCTTTAAATACTCTATATACGTTTTATAGAACATACTTGAGCTATACCAACTGGCTGAGCAGATCATTATGGGCGATCCGGTACCGGAGGAGCCGGAGGATAACGAAGAGGAAGCCGTTCCGGAGTATATTCCGCCCCCAGATGATGACGATGACGTGGAATAAGTGTCAGTGTTGTCTCTTCTTTTTTTTTATATATGATAGTTTCCAACTTTTTCTTTCGATCCACTCCCGTTACACTCGTTTGGTGGGTTTTTACATAAGAAAACAAAACGTAAAAAATTCATGTTCAAAATTGTCGAACAAACAAATTTTTTAACAGTATCGAAGAAAGGGCAAACCAAACGTTTGAAAAATTATAGCTGTATAAAAAAAGAAGAAAATATTTAAATAATTGTACAGGGAGCACGGCTGTCATCCACAATGAAATCTTCGTAACAGTCAAATATCAGTCTAAATACCTGTCGAATAAGTGTCAATTCAACGATTTTAATTAAAGCTATAACACGTTTAAGATAACACGAATAAAGCCCTCATATGAAAAAAATCAACACTAATCCTACGGTTTGCCGTGGGCGTCTCTGCATTTGAACTGCGAACAGCCACTCAATAGACTACAAATATTTGCATTCGCCTAGGCGATAAGGCGGGCGAACTACCGTGTTCCTGAAAACGAAATCACCTATTTAATTTTACACTTAACCAATTTTTTTTATATACAAACAAAATTGTTTGGCTTATTATTTTAAGAACTACAAAATTTTATAAATTTACAAAAAAAATTATTTATTATTTTTTAAACAATTTTTTAAAGATTATATACAAGTTTTTATTATTTTAATTTAAAATAAAATTTATCTCTGTTATTGTATTTGATTTTTAAATATTGATGATTAAAATCTTAATACAAAGTCATGCAAAATACAAAACGATAAAGTTTCTACGAATAAAATTTATACGGGTTAAACCGAAAATTTTTAAATTAAAAAAATGGTTTCTTTCTCTTAACATTTTTCCTTTACTTAAAACAAAAACAAAAACAAAAACAAAAAAAAAAAAAAAAAAAACAAAAATATTTTTATATTTATATATATATTTTTTTTTTTGTGAAAATTATTTGGAATTTGATTTATGGAATTTTCCATAACAAATCTCAGCGTAATTAGCTGAGGTAATTTATTTATCTATTGCACACCGGAAATGTTGGCGCCCGCTTTGTAATCTATAAATCATGAATGTAAATAAATATAAATATTAATATATATATATATACATATATTAATTGACGTGACGCATCTAGCAGTCGTGGGTTGGGATGCCATATAAACTTTTCAAATATGAACCTTTGTAACGAATGCAAACTGCATTTTGTTGTTGTCTTTAATGAAAAGTTAAGTTGAAAATAAAAATAGACAATTTATGTTTGCCACAAGCTAAAAATACTTTTTTCTCATTGGCCCCCCTTTTGTGGATTGGTCGTGGTTACATCTTGAACTTGGACTCTTCGAATGTGTCTGTTATTGGTTTTCTTTAGAGCGACAGCGTTTTATCATTTGGTTTTGGTTGCCCTAGGCAATTCTTGTGTGTGTGTGTGTCCTGATCCCTCTTAGCTGCGACCCTCTTTGCGAAGTGGAACCCATGCAAATGATTTGCTCTCTCTTCCAGTTATTGACTTTAAAGTGTTGCTTGTGGGTGCCAGAGCGGTGTCAGCCAACTGACTGCGGATTACCCACCCACACCGGACCGCCCCTTGTCATAACTTAACGCACCACAGATAGCGGCACTCTATCTTCGTTTTACTTCGATAAGGAATAATAAAACTTTAGCCAGCGAGACTTGGCTTCATTTTATGTGTAAGACGCTTTCTACTCTCACAGGTGCCAAAGGAATTTTTCCAAGTTCCATATTTATGAGCACACATATACTAGATGTGAAGTAAATAACTTAATAAATGGTTGTTGATGGTTGGATATACATATTTACAGTTCGACCATAACTAAATTTAAGGAAAAGCAGAGAGTTTATAAGAAAGACGAATTTTTTCTACGACAGAAAGAAATGTTAATCTAAACAATGATGGCAGAATTAAAGAAAATTTCTATAAAAAGTACAGAGGTCTTTTTAAAAACCAGCTCATTACCGACTTGTGGTTGCTCTACCTAAAAAACATTTATCCAGCTATGGCTCAAATTAAAATCGCCCACGTAAAGGTATTTAAATGACATATGACACAATCGCCGACTAATTGCTGTGATTAGCATGCCTGTCAAAGCGCAATATATGAGCGTAATAAAAAATCAAGAGATTTATGGTGACAGTTGGCCGATAAGAAATAATTTTATGAAAACAGCAAAGGAAGCACGAGAGAGTGAGAGCTAGAGAATGCGAAATGCACGCACGCAGATTCCTTAGAAATCGTCGTCACACGCGTTCCGCGGGGATTTCCGCGTCGTCATTTACAGGACAAAAAGAAAATGCGCCAATAAAGAGAATTCGGCCCACGCTAGTTAGTTTTCCTGGAATCGAAAGTGACGCCTGAAATGCTATATTATTATAAAGCATTGTCAACAATTAGTGTTGTTAACTGGGCCACGCCCACTCAGCCTACTGTATCGTGCGGCGTACATAATTGCGGCTACTTTTTTACGGCTAAATTCCCCGCACGATTTGCCCATCATTTTTCATAAGACAATATCGGGCGACAAAACTTGTGCAAATGTGACGAAATATTTCATTGATAAAGTCAGCGGAAGGAATGTAATGGAGCAGGAGTCGGCGAAGCAGCCGTAGAGGTGGGCAACGATTAGGCGTAATCGTAAAAGCTTCGTCGAGCTTTTACGCAATTTTTTGGCGCGTCACCTTCGTGTGCGCTCGCCACGAGCTTCGCGCGCTGCTCGGCTCCGCTCGTCCTTTATAAAAGAAGTCGGCGCCACGAGTCGGTTACGCAGTGTTCAACAAGTAGATAGGAGCAACAGTTGCCAATTGCGGAGAGCGGCAGACGCAGAACGCAGAACGCATTCGAAAACGGAGAGTGAATCGTATAAGTGAGTTAGCGCGGCATAGAAATCAAAATAAAGTCAATAAAAATGCATTTAAAAAGACCATAACGAGGGTGACAACAAACTAAAAAAAAAAGAAAATATGTGTTCATATGAACTGGTTCATAGAGACTTTTGGCATATCGTATCGAATGGTTTGAACTAAGCCCATCGCGAAATCTTACAAGTGCCGTCGCCAAGCAAAATGCGTGTTCAGATTGTCTATATATATATTACACGATTCAATATATACGTATTCATACATGTTATATATATATCCTCTATAAACTGTGGGAGTGTGTGCGAGTGCTACTCAGACTGTTAAGACAATATTTTGAAAAAAAAAAAAAATAAAAATTTTTGTTATCATTTATATAAATTAAATTAAAAGAGTCGATATTTAAGAGAGTATATAATATATAATATAAATAATAACAATAAAAATAAACTTTTTTTTGCTATGTTTTAATTTTTTTGTTTTTTTTTTTTTTTTTTTTTTAATTAAAACCCAATTTTTAAATTTTATCACTGGAAAGCGTAGATTTTATTTTTTTTAAATCAACTCAAATTATGTTTTTACACTAAAAAAAAAATATATATTTTTTGTTATTTTGCTAGCTACCTAATTTTTTTTTTTTTTTTTAGTTTAGAAAATTAGGAATTGAGGTAGCATTTAATACCTTATCATTCAATTATATTTTAATGAAAATTCCTTACAAAATATAGCTGTCCTTTAAAATTGCCTACTTTTTATTTAATTACTCAAAAAGCTTCAAATCATTATAACAGGAAATGATTAGATTTTTAAATAATATTCCGAATGATACATATAAGAAAAATATATATATATAATTAATATATATATATATATGATTAATATAGTTGTCAAGAAACGAGTGTATTATGAGAAACATCTAACTCCTGCCAACATTTTAAATTATTAAACAAAACAAAATTGCCGTCGATAAATCATAGTTAACAAGTAAGAACGTTGCAGTCAGGCGTTACCGACTGCGGAATACTCATTCACATCCCATTAACAATATAGTAGTTAAGTTTCGCTCTAATACTGTAGAATATACAGGTTTTTCCGATTTGCCACGCCCCAACTCGGCGTAGACACCTCATTTTTGGTCAGTTTTTAGAAAGAGATAACGGTACCCTAACTGCAAAGTTTGAATGCTTACCCTCAAAAAATGTGAAAATTACAGGGTATTTTTCGATATGCCACGCCCCTAAAGAGGCGTAAAAATTATTTTTGGGGAATCGATAGAGGAGGCTACCAGTAACTCAACTATCCAAATTTGAAGCTTCTAGCTATTATACTTTAGGAGATATAAACTTTTGCGGGTTGCCACGCCCCCTGTGGGCGGACATATATCCGACAAAACTTTTTGGTCTTGGGTGATCAGTCCGAGTATATATACAAAATTTGAGGTCTCTGCCATCAATAGTGTCCAAAATATAAGAGAATTTAAAAAATCACTATATCTTCAGGTCCGATTTGCCACGCCCCCAATGGGCGTAGACTTATAATTTATCTTAAGACTTTATAGAATCATACCATTAGCTGACGTGCAAAATTTCAGCATTCTAGGTTTACAACTTTAGGAGATACAGTTTTATCCGATTTGCCACGCCCCCAATGGGCGTAGATATATCCGCCATAGCTCGTGATCTTGGGTGGTCAACGCGGACCTACATACCAAATTTCAGCTTTCTAGCTCTTCAACAAACATGATTTCTGGTATATCGGAAAATGCATTTTCCGATTTGCCACGCCCCTAGTGGGCGGATCGGGAAAATTTTAACACTTTATAAATCGGAGATATACACGAGTATGTGTTCCAAATTTCAAGTCTCTAGCTTCAATAGCGCCGAAATAGATTGCGTTCATACGGACAGACGGACAGACGGACAGACGGACGGACGGACAGACGGACGGACATTGCACAAAACCAATATACTGATTCACTTTCGTGAATGAGTATAATGATTCACTTTCGTGAATGAGTATAAAAATAAACTAGTTTTGGTTGCAGCTGGTAAAGAATCGAAGAATAATATAAGGCTATTTTCACAGCACCATCAAAAATCAATCAAATTTGAGGTGTAGGAAAACTAATCAAAAGTTAAAAGTAGAATGCCAGCTCATTTCCAATAAATAATTCGAAATATAAATCAATCTTTTTTTGTTTTTGGTTTTTATCCATAAGCTACCAAATTTCACAGAAATTCCTTGGCCAATTTTTCGAGCAGAAAGCACCAATAATAAAGTAGGTCACAATGGCTGCTCGTCTAACGGTATTTATATATATTTATGTTTATGCATTTAATCTGATTACGGTGTAAGTAAATCGTTTAGGATGAAAAAATTTATAGAGCAAGACTCAGCTGAGAGCTGATGTAAAAGTAACCTGAATTATATTACTATACTAGACATTGATTTGAATTTCTACATACATTTTAATTCTATTGTGCATGCATTTTTATTTGGTTCATTCAACTGAGTAACTTTAATAAATCATAATTTTCTGCTAACGGAAAACCAAATCCACAATTCAACAACTTCAATGTTTCCTTTAAATGTCAAACAAAAAACTCCAATAAAATAACTTAGAAAAAAGGTTGAAAAAAAACAAGTAAGAAGGCTCCAGTCGAGACTGCTCGACTAGGAGATACCCTGAACCCTCCTCCAAGCTGATATTCTAATCATTCTGGACTTTTTTTATGCACACATACATACACATGCACTTATAAGCACGCGCTCTGCTAGCTGCGCAGTAAGCAGCGACAGCGCTTAGGCTGCGCTGCAGTGTCGGCAATATTTTGATAATTTATTTGTTGAATAATTTCTTTTGTAGACACACGATCTTAATGAAACTTTTAAAGCGTAATCATATGATAAAAGTGTGTGTACATTCTAAAGTACAAGTCTCTAGTACTTGAAATGCGTTTTTTACAAATTGGAGGCGAAGGGGGCGTGGTATCCAAAATCTGTAAATTACAAAATCTTTGTATCCATTAACTCTATATACAACGCAAATTTGAAGTCTCCAGGTTTAAAAGTGTTCAAATTAGGCTGAAAAAACCAAGTCGATTTTTCGATTATTCTCGATAAAAAAGTTATCGGATGAGTTATCGAAAAAATAAAGCAAACTCGTACTGCCTATGGTATACACGAGTATGCATGCCAAATTTCAGCTCTCTAGCTCTTATATCTTCTGAGATCCTTTTGCTCATACGGACGGACGGACAGACGGACAGGGCTATATCGACTCAGCTCGTCGTCCTGATCAAGAATATATATACTTTATGGGGTCTGCGATGATTCCTTCTGCCTGTTACATACTTTTCACAAAACCATTATACCCTGATTTCCCATTTTCAATGGCATATGTTGCTAGGCAAACATCTCGTGTTAAATCCCTCCATTTTCACCTGCGAAATTCCAAAGAGACGAAAAAAAATGAACTCAAGAAAACTCAAGAAAATGGGGATATGGGAAAGAATCCCGGGGGTGATAGAATGCAATGCACGCACGCATCAGCATCAGTTAGAATGCCAAGCGAATAGCGAAATTATGGCTGAGCAATGATGGACTAATCATACCCTAACTTGATGCAAAGGGGAGCATATAATACCATAACTCTATGAAAAACGGAACATGAGATAGATTGATAGATTAGTCTATATAATCTATAACCTATAATCTATATCTCTATACATATATCAATGCATATTTCCATCCATCTTACCCAAGCTATATATAGTATTTGACATAATAATAATAATAATCTTATGATATCTTGAGTATGTTTATTCCCTAAATTCCTCTTGTTAAAGTATATACAAAATATCTAGAATATGTATGTGTGTGCTTGTGTGTGTCCTTGTAGGTGTGTGTTACTCCACATGGTCATCGAACATGGATCAAATTTCCTGCCGCAGGCGCGCGATTGCCCACATCCTTCCAAAACTCCCTTGGCTACATCAACCACCTCCCTCTGCTCCACCAACACACACACACACACACAAAATATGATCGTCGTCTGAGTGCTTTTATTTTTCGTGTGTGTTTGTCTAACTGCTGAAAGCAGCGCACTCACAATTTAAGTAGAGCTATCAAATTCTTGACTCTTTCATGGTAATACTTGCGCATTGCCGCTGGACACACAATGGCATATTGGATTTATCAGCTAGAATTGTGGGAGCGGGCCAATCAGAGCAAAACAATATTTGATACGTTATATTTTGAACAAAGCCAAACAACATTTAAGCTATTAAATCATTACCTAGAGGGGACTTGTAGAAATGTTGACTGCTTAGATGGATTACTTTATGTGGATATTCTTTCGAATATATTTCAGCTTTGGCATTTGGAATAAATTTCTGTTGCTTACTGGAATGCATAAAAGAAGCGAAGAATAATTGCAATATCAACTCTTCACAGGGTTCAAGGTATTTCCCAGGCGAGCATTCTGAATGAGAATATTCTTTGAATATGCCATATGAATATTTTGAATTGCTAATGTACAACAAAAGTTGTAAACTATTTTACTTGACATTTAACAGCTTAATTTTTACAGACATTATCAAAATTTTCGAAAAGTCTTTAATGCAGCTTTAACTCACTTCAATGATAGCAAAAAATCCTCGAAATGCATTTATATAAAATTTGACCTTTAAATTGCCTAAATAAGTGTCCTTTTTATATAAAAAGGACATCTCTATCACATTTCTATAGAATTTATCCGAAAGTGTAAGAAAGTTTTTGGGGCTTGGCGGTGACAGCTGCGTTCGATTTCCATGTCATAAGTGTCGCAATATATTGTATAATATTGATACATTGAACGCACCATTATGTGAAAGGAAAACATAGAAGACGAAGAAGAACAAGAATGAAGGAATGACACTTTTCTTCGGCCTAATTGGCTGGCCGCAACAGCTGCATTAGCTTTTCGTGCCGAAAAGAGGGAAAACCCTTCGAGCATTTATTCTTGGTCAGCGTTAATTAAACAACAACTTTTTTTACAGTACGCATGATAAGTTTCTGTACTATATATAGGTGTGTATAGGTACTACTATGAATTGGTCTTTGCTTACCCATATTTTGGCTCAATTCTCTCATTAAAGCAATTAACTGTGCGTTTACTGCGAAGCAGGTGAGCAGGTGAGCAGCCCAGCCAGGTGACAGCCAACAAATGTGCCCGCCCACATTCTTGTGGTAAATTTTATTTCACCGTTGGGAACACAGCTAACAACAACAATTTTGTCAAGCTTTTCTGTTCGCCCTTCGTTTGGTTGATTTTTGGGCCAGTTTTACGCTTTGTTTGTGTGTGTCAACAAGTTAATTAAAACAGTTGAACAACGATTCGTGCTGTCCAGAGCTCTATTTGCCACCCAGTTAGGCCTGACTACGCCCTAGTTACAAATAGTCTTATATGTGTCTAATACATGTATTAAATAAAAAAATATCTTCTTTCTAATTGCTTGTACTTAGACAGCTTGAGAGGCTTTCGAAAAAAATAAAAGAAATATTTATTTTAATATGTCTGTTAGTTGCTGAAAATTTTTAGCATTTTTAAGAGCTCTTTGTTTTCTTTTTATTTAACAAATATTTTATTAGCAAACTGTGATTCTATAACTTTACTATGTACATATATACTTTAATAAATGAAAATTTCTCAGAATTATTCGCCTACATTCATAACTCACTCTTTCATAATCGGATGAAACTATAATAATAATTTCAGAGATAATAATAAAATTATAATTTTTATAGTTTTCTCGATTATTCTCGATAATTTGCATTTCTGTGTAAACTGGAAAAAATTGATCTCCTTGCCATTTCGAATTATAGGGACTCAACTGCATATGTATATAACAAATCGGAACTGGAACTGTCAGTGTTTGTGCCGTGAACGAGTATTCTGCAGTCGGTAATGCTCGACTGCAACGTTCTTACTTGTATAATATCAGTGTCTGAAATTTAGCAGACTAGCCGCGAGTATATATTTATGAGTATAAGGATAATCCGACTTTTTTATCTTACAGACATGTTTGTATTTCGCTTGTCTGCTTTATTATTAATTTGTATGGGGTTTTTTTATACTTAAATATATATGTATATACATATATACACATTTTTTAAATTTAAACGCAACAAGTTTTCATAATAACCTCTGACCTGTTTAATATATACTCATCATTAGGGATTTCCAGCTTTCTTGTCTGCATCCAGATCTTATTTTTAATTATTTTGAGTGATATATGGTAATATACTTCTATATTTTATTTTTTGAATCTTATTAGCATAACTGTACTTTATTTTATATAATATTTTCGCACCATAAGGGCATTCCCGTCTCGTTAATACACAGGTTTTGTCTTTACGTCCGTCTGCCTTAGTGCATGCCAGTACTTACTCCTGTCTGTCTGATGGCTACACAAACAGTTAACTGTAAACCTATCTATATTTAGTATGGCCATAAAATATGCATTATCAATATTATAATGTATGCAAGTGCGAGTATACAAATATGAAGCATATATTAAAAGAGAAGCACATATTTATACACATATGGAAGACGTCGTCTGATGATGCTTAAAAGCGTCTTAAATAATATTGGGAAAAGGGTATTCAAATATATTCTTTATTTTATTATTATTTCCATCTTCCCTTTTCACAATATTTTGTTTACTGCTTGATTGAGTCCGAAGGTAAAGTAAAATGCTCGAATCTGGAAAAGTTTGCATTACTTTGCCCTACAATCAAAGCGTGAAGTGAACAACAAAATTTTGACTACTAACTTTTTTTCTAGGTAGAAAATTTAATGAGTTCAGTTGACAAATTGAAAATGTTCATTTGGTTTTCGTTTCTTTTCTTGCGTTGTTGTTTCGTTGCCTAATTTGTGGGGCGTGCTAGGCAGCTTATTTATTGTTAACTCGGCTCACGGTTCATTTGGTAATTCGTCAATTTCCAGCCAAGGAAAAATATTCAAATTGGCAGCTCCGTGCGTGAAATGTATTTGACTTGAAATTGAGGTAAATTATTACCTTTAAAACTGTCGGTTGGGCAAAAACTTACTCAGAATTCCGTTCTTTTAAACCTGGTTTGTGATTGGGTCTACTAAAATTGGTTTAGACTTAAATTAACTTGAATTGATTCATAATTGAGCTAATTAATAAGTTCATTCTATCTAACTAGTATGAAAATTCAACTGATTCACAATTGTGTTGATTTGAACTAGCTCATGAATGAGTTCATTTAAACTGATTCATACGTTGTTTCAAAATTCACTGGTTCGCAATAAACAGAACTGATTCAGAGATTATAAAATTTAAACAGGTTTAGAATTGAGCTCATTCAAAGAAGTTCTCAAATCAGTTGTTCTAAACTGACTTTACTTGAGCTGCTTCTCAAATGAACTTAAGCTGGTTCAGATTTGAATATTCTCAAACTTGTTGTCAATCGAGTAAGGTTTTATCTAAACCGATTCAATTGAGTTAATTGACATAGTTCGCATTTGATCTAGTTCGCTGTTGACCTCCTAGATAGAAAAATAGTTTTGTTTCAAGTTTATTCAAAGAACTAGATGAAAATAATTCGTTCACATATAATAATGTTTCAATTACATTGGATACTTGATTTCCTTCATTGAGTTGGTTTACTATTAAACTGATTCCGATCTTAATTTGCCTAAAAAGCAAAACAAGAAAAAAGGAACTGTTTCGAAAATGAACTATCTTTATTTAAACTGATTCGCAACTGACGTCACTGAAAATCAGTTCAAAACTTACTCAGAATATATATTTTTTTTAATATCCCAGCTTGAGCTAAGCTTGAGTTGAAGGATCTGAAATTTTAGAAGAATTTCTAGCTTCATACAGAGCAAATTTATTTATGGAAATAATTGCATGTATCATTGGCATGAATTGTAGTTCTAATGAACAGCTTAAGTCAAATACAAAATTGATGTTTCACGATTTTTTGTTGTTGTTTGGTTTGCGAAATTAAACCAAATCGCGAAGTTTTACAGGCTTAGACACCACCGCAAGTGCCAAAAGTTGGAAGCCAACTCATTTATATTGTTCCATCAGGCAAAAAGTTATGTTAGCGGAGAAGCCTCAAAACAACAGAAAAAAACAAAAGCAAAAAAATAAGCTACTCAACCCAAGGGCAGAGGCAATGAAGGCAATGAAGGCTATGTGGCTAGGCTAATGGATGCACGTGGATAAAGAAGTGTTGATGAAGGACGAGCGGGGGCCGTGGCTGAGGTGTTAAACTTGTGCTGCAAATGCGTAGCGAAGGAGTGAAGCTTATGCCACGCCCACGGCTAATTAAATGAAACGATGCGAATGGCGGCCTTAAAATAAAAACAAGCTGCACAAGGCGATGGGGATTAGGGCGGGGAGTAGGGGAAAAGCGGAAGAATCAACAGCAGCAGCAGCAGCAGCAGCAGCAGCAGCGGCAGCAAAAAGTTGCCCAAGAAGACGCTTTGACACATGCTGTTGATTTAAACCTATGTATATGTGTATGTGTGTGTGTATGTGTGAGAGAGAGTTTATGTGCGTGTTCTTTGCTTAAGCACGAAAAAGTGGCAACACCCACACGAACAATTGGTTTAAGGGGTTTACAGCGGGTTGGGCTCTGCTGTTTGGTAGTGATGGTAATTAGCCTCATACACATTCTCATTTTATGCTTGCAGAGAAGACAGGACGACGCTAACAGCCCGCTAATCCCAAGGATAACAGTCAGTACGCACACCAACACAAACGGGGATAGAGTGAGATAGATATAGTCAAACATGAAGTTAAATATGCTGACGCTCGGCATGCTGGCTCTAACGATCCTGGCCAACTCGCAGCATGTCCTTAGCTTTCTGACGGGCCAAGCGACGTCTCTCAATGGAGTTGGAGCAGCTACACTTGCAGCACAACAACAACAGCAGCAACAGCAGCAACAGCAGCAGCAGCAGCAGCAGCAGCAGCTCGCCGGCCTCTTTGATGGAGTCGGAGTCGGAGTCGGAGCTGGAGTTGATGCCGACGAGGACAGCAGACAGCAGCTGAACATAGAGACGCAGCAGCAGCGCAATGTTTACGATCCAGGAGATGGTGAGTAGTATCCCTCATTAAATTACGGCACAGCCTTTTGTGCCTGACAAGGATTACGCACTGACATTTGACTCACTCAGCCCGCAGCGTAGGCATTGTGTTTGCTCTTTGCCCGGCTCGAATGGCCTTCAACAATGAAGGCCATGAAAATGTATTTTATGTCGAGCAAAAAACTTCGTTAACACTTTTTTTTCTCTTCACTAACAATTTGTCTTGGTCCGAGTTTGTCAGCTAGTTCATATCTATATAAAATTCAAGTTTATTGAAAGTGAAATAACTGAAAAATTAGATTGAGAAATATAAAAATTCTCCTTATGAAATAGTTTCTTCAATTTTAATAATTTATAAAAATAAATTAAATAAATAGTATTTTTAATGTAACTTTTTTAGTAAGTAAAAGATATTTTAAAAATATTCCATAGGTAAAATATTAGAAAAATCATTCATTTTTGTATTTATTTAATTTTTAAAAATAGTTTTAAAATGAATAGTTAAATATTAAAAAAGAGTACAATATTCAATAGTAATACCCATTAATAAGGAAGCAGCATTCTTAGGTCAAACAATATATTGTAGTGCGCCTACAACGATTTTACAGTGCTTAAATTTCCAACAAGTGTCCGAAAAATAGGAATTCCCTTTTAGGATCGTCTTCTTTTTATGTTTTCATAAATTTAAAGCTAGGCTGCACAGCCTAGAAAGTTTCCTTATGCAGTTTCAGATTCGGAATGCTTCAACCAGTCCCGTCCTACCCTAAATTTGGCTCGTAAGAATAAATTTACTCGTGATTTCAAGCTCATCATGTTTCACAAAAAAAAAATAAATAAATAAATAAAAAATAAATAAATAAATAAACTGAAATAAAATATTGGTTTGATAATTTTTTGAATTATGGCTTTTAACATGAGATCTCATTCCATTTCAAGTTCCATATTTTGTTTCTGTTCACTTCGCTCGTTCGATTGGGCACTCAACAGGTGCCCCATCAGCGATTTTTTTTTTCTTTGTGTAGCCTGCTCTTAGGCGACCCACGTAGCAATGGATTTCAATGGTCGCTGGGCATTTCCGGTCAGTGCGCAATTTTCGAAGTGCGTTTATCTATGGCAACACGCCAAACACACGCACATCCATAGAGAGGACTAACACTTAATACGCCTACAAAATGTTCACATTTTTTAACGCATTTCAAGTTTGTTTTACGTCAGAGAAGTCGCGTCGTCTTGTCTACAGTCAACACACACACAGACGCAGACACAGACAGACACACATACACACACACACAACATTTAAGCCATAAAATTAAAATATGAGCACAATTGATTATCATTTGTTTAGAATGCATAATTCGATTCAGTTTCCAATCGATTTGAGTTGGGTTCGACTTGGAAGTTTTGTTTGAACATAGAAAAAAGAAAATGTATTTTCTTATCTATTAGCAGGGGGGTAAATTTAAAATCGAGCACTGTTAAAATTGGAACAAGAATGAATAAAAAAATTTTAATATAAATTAATATTATAATATTTAAAAAAAAAAAAAAAAAAAAAACAATAATTTCCAAAATTAAAAAAAAAATTAATAAATAAAAAAATGAAAAAAAAAAAAAATAAATAAAATAAAAATAAATTATTATATAAATACAAAGTTTATATATAATTACTTTAAATACGAGGCACACTTAGAAAAATTATCTCACTTTTTTTTATACCCTGAACCCATAGAAAATGGGAAATCAGGGTATAATGGTTTTGTGAAAAGTATATAACAGACAGAAGGAATCATCGCAGACCCCATAAAATATATATATATTCTTGATCAGGACGACGAGCTGAGTCGATATAGCCCTGTCCGTCTATCCGTCTGTCCGTCCGTCCGTCTGTATGAGCAAAAGGATCTCAGAAGATATAAGAGCTAGAGCTGAAATTTGGGATGCATACTCGTATATACCATAGGCAGTTTATCATATTTTTTCGATAACTCATCCGATAGCTTTTTTATCGAGAATAATCGAAAAATCGACTTGGTTTTCTCAGCCTAATTTGAACACTTTTAGACCTGGAGAATTCAAATTTGCGCTGTACATATATAAAGTTAATGGATACAAAGATTTTGTAATTTACAGATTTTGGATACCACCGTGGTATTACCACGCCCCCTTCGCCTTCAATTTGTAAAAAACGCATTTCAAGTACTAGAGACTTATGTGTTGTGTTTCATTAAGATTGTACGTCTAGAAATTAAATTATTCAACAAATAAATTCTCATAATATTGCCCACATTGCAGCGCAGCCCAAGCGCAGTCAATGCTTACTGCGCAGTCAGCAGAGCGCGTGCTTGTAAGTACATGTGTATGTATGTGTGCATAAAACAAGTCCAGAATGATTAGAATATCAGCTTGGAGCGTTCAGGGTATCTCCTAGTCGAGCAGTCTCGGAGCCTTCTTACTTGTTTTAATATTTATTTATATATTATTCAGTTCCTTCTAAAATAATTTTCCATTTAAACGATGCAATTTTTACCTGTCATCAATCAATCAATTAGCTAATCAGTCAGTCTGTCAATCACGCAGTTAAAACAATAAGTTAAATATTGAATAAATCCAAATATAGCTTACTCTTTGGTGAACTGTTATTTGAAATCGGCAAAGGTTTAATGCCAAATGGTTTGTAAGCTGTAATCCGAGCCCTTTAAGGCGTGGCATTTAAGCCGTTGGTTGCTGTGGCAGGAAGCTGCCAAATGAGACAAAAGGCAACCGCATGATAAACGGGCAAGCATCAAACACAATGAATGAGCGAAAATTGATAGACTGACTGACTGACTGACCGAGTGACTGACTGAGTGAGTGAATGAGTGAGTGAGTGACTGACGGAATGACGGCTGTCTGTGGCATTGTCGTGACTATAGCCGCCGGTCAATTTCCGCCACTCGCTGTGTATTTAATATGTATGAGTATTTTTAAGCCCTGGCAACATAGTTGAGGCTGGGCAGAAGCGAGACAAACAAAACTTCAAATGTCAGTTTGGCGGAAACTTGCGAGTCGTTCCGCTCCTTGTGGTCGGATTAAATTGTGCAAAATATTCAAATGCCACATAAATCGAGTTTTTCCTTTCTTCATCTTCTTTTCCGTTTGCCCGTGACAGAGCTGCTGCGTGCGCTGAACATGGAGTTGGAATCGGAACGCGAACGGGAACGTGAAACGGAACGGCAGCCTGACTACGGCACTGCCGTGGAGCTGGCCAGTAAATTTGACATGCTTAAGAAGATAGAGCAGGATTTACGCGCTGAGCAGGAACTAGTCGACAAATCCGCTTTGCTTATGAAAATGTTAGAGGTGAGTGAGGGGGGGCAGGCGGTGTGGTTGCGTGGGTCCTGACATGTGCTGGTATTTACTTCGATAACAAATGTGTTACGCTCACTTAGGACCCGACATTGGATACGCTGCCATTGGTCTATGTGGAGGAGGAGGAGCCGACAGTAATTGCGGCCGACGACTACCCAGAACTGGATAATGGCATACAGAACCTAATTGTCGGGCAGAATAAGCCAAAACGTTCCCGTTATTATCGTCGCTATCCCTGGAAGCGACACAATCGCAATCGCGGGTAAGCTTTTGTCAGCCCTGGTAGCACACAAGCAGCACACACACACTCCCAAACTCCTCTTTTTATTAAAAAGAAAACCCAGAAAACGCCCTAGCACCCTTTTTGAGTTGTAGTTTATATTGTTATTAAGCTTATATATGTTGGATTTTGTTACTGAAAAATCTTTTCGAGTTTCAACCGAATTACCAAATATATTAAAGCAAAAAATATTAAATTAATTCAAAGCAGTTTCAAGAAAAGCAATATTTCAAATTTAGAAAATTTGTAAGTGGAGAAAAAAACCAGCATTAAAGAAAGAAATTCCTTAATACAAACTCATCATTTTTAGAATATGTTTCGAGAATTCCAGCTTCGAAATTAAATAATTTAAATAAAGTTTTTAAAGGAAAAAAACTTTACAAGAGAAAGAAAGCAATAACTTCAAAAATATATACATATTTTGAGTAAACAAATTTTTTGAATAGTCAACGAATAATTTTTACTAAAATTAATTTCTTCATAGTTGTTCTAAATTATTCTAAGTTCCTGAGATTATTTTTTGCTAAGACTAAGAATTTAAGAACACAAATTATATCGGAAAAAAACTCTTTAAAAGAAAACAACTCTTTAAAAGAAAAAAACTCTTTAAAAGAAAAGAAGAAAAGAAAAATTTCTGGACATCTTCAAATCGAAAATATTTCAGCAACAAATGCCAAACCTTATTAGATATATGTTCATATACACATATTAAATTTAGAAAACTGTACTAAACTGCATTTCCAAGAGTCTCTCTAGGCCGTACACACAATGAACCCTCCGATTACCGAAATCCACAGATATATATATATATATATATACTTATATATATGTATATTATATGTAAAGAATATATACATATATGTTCAAAAATGTGGGCGTGATGTGAAACGATAATTTCTAATTGCAAAATATTACTGTTATTCAGTTCTTACATGAATTCTATCAACAGCAACTATGAACCGGAACTGCGTTACGCCTGCACACCTAGCAAGGAGGATATATTCAAGCTTCTGGTCAATTTGCATGAGAATCGTAAGGGCAATCACAGCAAGACTGTGAATTTTTGCAATCGCAAGCGACCCGCCAAGGCGGTATTTACCAATATTCGATTCCTGGGCTAGATCTGAGAATGGCAGACAGAGACAGATGGATACACACAACCATACACCTACACACACATACACACACATAAAGACATATGTATACCAAGCATCAGTTTGTATATTGCTGACAAAGTCAAGCGCGAAAACTGGAGAACAACAAGCACTAACAATTAGTTAACTTAACTAACTAACAAACTAATTAAACTAACCAGCTACTAGGTAATTATTTATGCAAACAACCTTTTCGCACACTAAGCTAGCCAATTAGCCAACACTGAATTGCAAAACTAGTGTTAAACCACGTTTAACTTTTTTAATGTCTCTCAATGTGTTGTATATACTAAAAAATATTTATATATGTATCTAAAGTTTTTAATATCAAGTTAATCCGAGCTAATGTTCCAGCCTGTCATATCATTAGAGAACGCGTCTATCGATGTTGGTAGTCGAAGTATTATCTATGTTAACTTAACCTAGAAACCTTAACCTAAATGATACAAATATATAAAAAAAAAAAAAAAAAAAACTAACGAACGAAATCATATTTATATATATATACTATTACTATATATGTATGTATAAATCAACATCGATGTGTATATATGTATATGTATACTTAACAAACAACTAAAATGACTTATATGTACGAATCTATGTACCTATGTAACTAAATATATTTATATCTATATATATATATATGTGTATATGTCGGGAGATTTAATTACTAAAATAAACATATGAATAAATATATCTATATTATTCGTCTGCGCAATGATATTTTTATTTGTTCTATTATGGGGGAAATATAATGCATTATTAATTAACACTTAAATATTGATTGAATATTGTTGATTATCAATTATTTAACAATATGATATAATAATATAATAATAATATTCATTTTAAACAATTTGATTATCAACAACAAGTTTTTACTATCTCTCTAATCCAAATATACAATCACATACATAGATTTTAATGTATTTATAAATATTGAAAAAACAACTTAATATATTTGAGAATATTTTATGATTTCTTTAATTAATTTTTATACCCTGAACCCATTTTCAATGGGAAATCAGGGTATAATGGTTTTGTTGAAATGTATGTAACAGGCAGAAGGAGGCGTGGCAGACCCCACAAAGTATATATATTCTTGATCAGGGCGACGAGCTGAGTTGATTTGGCCCTGTCCGTCTGTCTGTCCGTCTGTCCGTCCGTCCGTCTGTCCGTCTGTCCGTCTGTCCGTATGTATGAACGCGTCGATTTCAGAAGATATAAGAGCTAGAGACTTCAAATTTTTTTTTTAAATGTTCGTAATTACAGCGCGCATATCAAGTTTATCATTAAAAATCGATAACTCATCTCGAAAACCAGTTATAAAATTATATCTTCTACACCTTTATTGCTAGAGTCTCAAAATTTTTAATGTATGCTTATATGCAATTTATACAATTTCGGTTTTTGTTAAAATTTACCCTCACCCTTAAATTCACCCCCTCACCCTCACTTTTGTAAAAAGCGTATTTCAAATACTAGAGACTTGTGCTATGGCAATTACATGCATATCCATGTCATAATCATAATCTGAAAGTTTCATGAAGATCGTATGTCCACAAAAAAGTTATTAAGCAATTAAGTTCTCATAGTAAGCGCTCACTGCCGCCCATGCGTGTTTATGCTTGTGTGTGTATATGTATGTAATTGTTTGTGTATGTGTGTGTGTGTGTGTATGTGTGTATGTATGTGTGTGTATGTATGCCTGTGTGTGCGTGCGTGTGTGTGTGTGTGTGTGTGCGTGTTTCTTGTGTAAGCTGAAAGACGCGAAAAATTATTGAAATAGCTATTACTCCAAGGGTTCAGGGGATCTCGTAGTCGAGTAGTCTCGACTAGAGCTTTCTTACTTGTTTTTTTTTTTCCATATATGATGTATGCAAATATGAAACAAAAAAAAAATATATATTGACAAACACATCAATTGACAATGTTCTCAGCTAAATGACTTAATATAAATCATATTTTTCATTTTTCTTACTTACGCGCATCCATTGTCATTCAGCGATCTCTCTATCCGCTTGACGTTGCTGACGTCATTGAATGTGTGACAAAAAATAAAAGAGGTATCGTTGCTGAGTCATGCATGGGCTCAACGTCGCTTTAGAGCTAGCAAAGAAAATGTGCACATAGTGGTTCAGATACCCTGTATAGAGAGTGCTAGAAAGGGTGGCTTATATAAAGTGACAAGCTTTAAACTTTTCCAGTAAGCTGAAGTGAGAAAATTTTATGTAAAAAATGTGTTGGAATATAATTTCTTTGCAAATACTTATGATATATGACACATACAATTCTGGATTTTAGTTCATATGCTTAATAATAATATTTATATATTGATATATAAATAATTTAAAGTCATAAAAATTTCGTAAGCCAAATAGTTATCGTAGGTATATGTATAAAGCATATTTCTCATAGCACTTGTTTGTGACAGCATATCTTCCAGATGAGCTCTCTGCCTTGGGTACTCCATTGGCCATTTCCGCCGTTGTCAGTGCCAGCAGCTCTTCAAATAGATAACCTAGCAGAGCTTGAGCAAACATAACCAAGAACTGGCCAGTCAGTGGGTGGGCGGGGCGTAGTCGGATTGCGAGACTTTAATGTCAGAGCGTCAACGTATTCACACTTCAAGGTGTGAGTGGGGGGGAATAACTGGAACCACAATCACAGCACTTATGCGACTTTGTAAACAATGCGACGCATTTGTATGAAAAACGAAAGTCAGCACCTAGTCATAATATTCGTGGGTCACGCATTCTCATAGAGCGTTGGCGATGTGGCTGAAGGTCAGATTTAAAATAGAAGATAGAGGAGATGCGGAGTAGGGAATTCTATTACAGAGAATGAATAATTCTAATTAAAAATATATTTTTAGAATATTTAGCTAGTATGTTTATTTTATTTTACTTTATTATATTATATTTTATTTATGGATTTATACTACTATTCAGAACTAGCCGAAAATATTGCTAAACCAGCTGCGTATCGGGGCAAAGCAGATGGGCTTGGTCAGCCAGAGCGTGTCCACAGAGAGGCGCAACACCTCCATGTAGTCGAAGGTGCAGCTGCTCTGCTCGAAAGCCTTCGTGCTAAGCTTCACCGGCCTCGGTGTCGTCGTCGACGTCGCCTTCACATCGCCCTCATCGTTGTCGAGGGCGGCTCGAGCGAAAGCCTCGTCGGCATCGAAGTAGTAAAACTCCTTGCGCGTGGAGTTCGTCTCCACCACACGCGAGGGCTGCTGGGCATCCAGGCCACGGGCGTAGGCCCAGGAGCCGGATTGCCTAGATTGGCGATACGGCGTGGGCAGGAGTGGAGAGAGCGGCGACAGCGGGTAGCTGGGCAGGCGCCCCGGATAGCTGGGCCAGAGCGGGGATTGTGGCTGATAGCCGACCAAACTAGGCCGATAGCCACCTAAGCCAAACTGTGACTGAAGTCCGCCGAGCTGCGACTGCAGTCCACCAAATTGAGTCAGTCCTCCGAGCTGTGGCTGAAGTCCTCCGAGCTGTGACTGCAATCCACCCAACTGTGTCTGAAGTCCTCCGAGCTGTGGCTGTATCCCAGCCAGCTGTGACTGATAGCCACCAAGACCCGGTTGAGTCAAAGGATTATTGCCAATCAGCCCATAGTTGCTCGTGTCCTGATCGTGAAAGATCTCGAGCAGAAAACCATTTGTGGGCGTGGCGCCCGACTGACCCATGCGCAAACGCAAGGCCTTGCGGCCCTGTGGCCAAAAGGATTTGTGTATATGACCCGAACGACAGCCACAATAGCGCTGCCCATCTATCTCGATAAAGTCCCCGGTACAACTGGAGACCCCTGGAACAGCCTGAGCCGGATAAATGCCGCCCGAAGAGTGGCCAAAGTCGAAGAATTTGAATTGAATGCGCAGGCCGGCGACATTCTGCGAACTCTTTTCCAAATAGAAGACGCAATCGCGCTGCTGATTGGGCAGCAGAGCGTTGAGCACGGTGCGCGGAAAACCGGGACTGGACAAATAGAAATGGGCCTGGTTGAAGCTGCTGATGCAGCACAGATCCACCTGCCCACCAAACTGTGGATCGTAATCACGCAGGAGGGCGTTGGGTGCTTGGAAGGAGCTCGTCTGGTACTGATCCGAGATGCTGGGCAGCTGTTGCTCCTGTGTCTGCAGCTGTTGCTGTTGTTGCTGGAGCAATTGTTGCTGTTGCCCTGGCTGTTGCTGCTGTCCCGCTTGCTGTTGCAGCAGCTGTTGCCACTGTTGCTGCTGAGCTAGTTGTTGCTGCTGAGCTAGCTGTTGCTGTTGCTGGAGCCATTGCAGCTGCAGCTGTTGCCACTGTTGTTGAGGCAGCAGCAACTGTTGCTGCTGTGCAAATTGTTGAGGCTGCAGGAACTGTTGCTGTGGCTGCTGTTGTTGCTGCTGCTGCTGCAGTTGCTTTTGTATCTGCTGCAACTGTTGCTGCTGCTGTTGCTGCAGCTGCAGCTGCAGCGGCAACTTTTCATCATTGCATGGCGGAGCAGCAGGCAAATAAAGCCCACCAGAAAAGCCTGGATACGGCGGCAAAGCCGGATAAGCAGCAGGCAGAGTGAAATTGCGATGTGCCACACCTTGATGTGGGTGATGTTTCCTGCTTGGCAACTGAGCAGTTACCTGCACCGTGTCATCATCGTCGCCGTTGTCCGTATCCAAGCCACGTGCCGTCACTTCCTCTCGCTCGCAGGCCAAGCGCGTCACCAGCAGACGAAAGCCACCGCCCGTAGTCCAGGGCGAGTCGTCACTTAAAAATCTCAAACGCAGTATTCCGTCCGGCGTCTGATACTTTTTAATGCCTCGCACTTGGCCACAGAGCACGTCCAAATCGCGCTCATCCTGCTGCAGGCCGACAGCCAAATAATCCCGGCTGCAATTCTCCGACAGCTCCAGCTGAAAGTCAAGGAACTGCACGTGAAATTTGGTCGGACAGCGATAGGGCGAACGGATAACATAATCGACGCAGCTGTTGAACGGATAAGTGTCCGGATAATTCGGTGATTCAATCAAACTCTGGCGCTCTCTATAGACGCCCTGGAGCGTGCATTGCGGCAGCTCGTCGTGCACTAAGGCGCAACCACTCGAGATTAAGTGAAGTATATACGTAAGCATATACACATTATATATGCGGGTAAGTCCTGGCATATCCTTGCGCCACATTTTGCGAGGCCAATTAGCGAGCACCTGAGTTAGCGCGCGACAAAATACAACTAAACACGTCGCGGGTCACACGACGTCGACTCTCCGGCCATACAATTATTGTAGGTGCGACTTTTTCGGCTTCACTTGCATTAGCTATAGGCTCTACCATGGTGTCTACCTCTCCCCACGTCTCTCCTCGTCCATCTGCCCGAAACAATTTGCACTCTTGTTTATGAGCTGGAAACAAAAGCGTTTGCTTGTCTCCCCAAACGTTTACAGCAAATGGTATTCCAAACATCTCTGCCCCATTCCATTCACGACTCACTTCATTTAGTCCGATG